GCATTGACTGCTCTTGCAGAAGACCAGGGTTTGATTCCCAGCACCCACATGGTGGCTAGTACCCACATGTTCGTAACTCCAGTTCCAGGGATCTGATACTCTCTTCTGACCTCCTCAGGCATTGTATAACAGGGGTGCATGTACACACATTCAGTTAATGCATAAAATACACATAAAATAAAAATATAAAAAGCTGTGCTGATATAATGGGAACAGAGGCTGCTACAGGAAAGCAGAAGTTTTACAGAGTTAGGTGGCTCATACCGACTTTCCTATATCAACGTCATAGCTTCCCTGGTCCTCTTCCAGCACAGGGGTCATTGGGACATTTTACAGAATAATATGCTCATTGCTTTCAATTTTCTACATAATGTACACGCTCCTTTGAATGTTTTCTCAAGTTCCTTAGCCCAAGGAAATTTTCAAATTCAAATTAGTGGCACAACTAGCATGCAATGCCTATGGATTCCAGAAACAGAAGTCAGGGGTTCTGTTTTCAGTCCTCGAACCCAGAGAAGCGAAGTCCCACAACCAGGGACTTCTTTAGAATGCAGCCAATCAGTTTTATAGGGAAGGAAAAAAAAAAAAAAACCCAAACCTTTTTTTCTTCTGTCTTAGGTTCTTTGACCAGAGCCCTATAAATCAGACTAGCAAAAGACAGATTAATAAAAGAAAGTCAAATGTATGCATGACTCATACATACGGCCCAGTGTTGAGGAACTCACAGATGGTGGTGGGAACTTAGGGTGTCTCCTTTCCTGTTTCTTTTCTTTGATTTTTTGAGACAGAGTCTCCTGGAAGCCCCAGCTGGTCTAGAACTCTCTATGTATACCAGGCTGGCCTCTATCTCACTGATTTACCGGCCTCTACCCTCTGGGATTAAAAGTGTGTGCTACCTTGCATGGCACGTCTCTTTTCCTTTTACCTTTAGAAAAAAAGGCTTCTCATATTTTATTTATAATTTTTATTTTATGTGTATGTATTGCCTGCATGTTTGTAAGTGCACCACCCCCTGTCATGTGATGCTCATGAAGGTCAGAAGAGGGAGTTGGATTCCATGGAAATGTAGTTACAGAACCTGGGTTTTCTGCAAGAGCAGTCAGTGCTCTTAACCCCTCAAACATCTCTCCAGGCCCTCAGCCTTTTTTTTCTTTCCTTAAAAAGATTTTTTAATTTTATATGTATGAGTATATGAGTAGTTTGCCTGCACATATGTTAAGCATACCAAGACAATGCCTAGTGCCTGCAGATGCCAGAAGAGGGCATCAGATTCCCTTGAACTGGAGTTGAAGATGGGTATTAGCCACCATTTGGGTGCTGGGAACTGAATCCAGGTCCTCTGGAAGAGCCATCTCTTTTTTCTTAAATGCAAATGTGTGTTTGCATGCATATGTATGTGCAGATGCACATATGCGTGTATGTGTGCCTGCCTATGGAGGCTGGAGGAAGATCTCAGGTATTATCCTCAGGAATGCTGTTTACCTTCTTTGAGACAGGGTCTCTCATCAGCCAGGAGCTCACCAATTAGGCTAGACTGGCTGGCCAGCAAGCCACAGAGATCTTCTTGCCTTTATTTCTCCAGGGTTGGAATTACAAGAGTACACTACTACACCTGTTGCTTTTAGAGCATTTTAACAGAACGATACACCTGTAGAGATGTGACCAGACAAAGAATAAGGACTTTGAGCTTCCAGGACAATAAATTGAGGGATGGCATAAATATATAAGGGATCTGTTGGGAGACAAGTGTTAGTGAGATTTGTATGTCAATTCCTCTGGGCTGGTAAAGGTCATAGTGAGTAACTTCTCCCTCTCCTCCTCACAGGGATGCCTTCATAAATAGGGTCAGGCAGACGGGTAGGCCAGGAAGCTTGTCTTAGATTTGATTACCTTCAGTTTAAACTTGCTGCCAGAGTGGCACCCTGGGTAGCATGTTCTGTTATGTTTCAGGTTCTATACCGAGAGCCTAGCCTGCTCTCTGTGTGTGTGTGTGTGTGTGTGTGTGTGTGTGTGTGTGTGTATGTGTGTGTGTGTATGTGCAGCCACTGGGGAATGAGGTTCCTGGGTATTGGTGTTGAGAGTACTGGAGGGATGGAAGCAGAGGAAAGAAAATAATGGTCCTGTTAGCTGTTAGTCAGATAGTATGGACAATGGCTAACACCGATCATGCAGTCAGCATGTGCTAGGCCGTGCTATGGCCTTGCATGTATAATCTCAGATTTTTCCAAGTCTTCAAAATAGGTTTGATCACTGTGTCCACTTTATATAGAAGACTGAGACTGGGAGAGAGGCTTAGCTTATCATGGAGCCAGAAGCAAGGATTTGAACGCAGGTCTCTGAAGGCCAAGCTCTTCCAGTCTCTTTTCTGCTGTCCCTGATCCCCTCCATGGATGGAGACTCTGCATTCCCCAGTAGTCCTGATGCAGGAATCACCCGCAGCTCCCTGAGTGGAGAAAGTGTAGTCCTGTGTCATGGCTACTGTCCTTCCAAACTGTGCTGAGCCCTGGTGTTTACCCTCCCTTGAGTCATCTCTGTCTTCTTTTCCCTTCTACTTCCATGGCTTGCTCCTTATTTCAAGACTTCATAGGTAATCTAGGGTGACTTGTCTTCCTGGGGCTTTGCTTTGGGCCCAGTACCTAAATCCCAAGGCACTCTGACAACTAGAGGATAAGATTCAGTCACCCTGGCCACCTTCATACTTAGTCCCTGTTCTCTGCCACATCTAAACCCCACAGACATCCTCATCCTCTCCAGTGGGCTCTGTCTGTCTGTCTGTCTATCATCAATCATCCATCTATCATTTGTCTTTTAAAAAAATTTTGTTCTGTGTGTATGAGTATGTGTATACAGAAGTGCATCCATGTCATGCAATGCCCCCAGAGGTCAGAAGAGGGCATCAGATCCCCTGGAGCTGGAGTTAAGGAGGGTTGTTAAACATCATGTAGGTGCTGAGAATCGAACCCAGGTCCTCTGCGAGAGCAGTCAATGCTTTTGACCTCTGAGCCATCTCCAGCCCTCATTTGTCTGTCTGTGATGACTAATCTTGGTTGACACCTTGACACACCTGGGAAGAGAGGCTGAGGAATTTCCTCCCTCAGATTGGCCTGTGGGCATGTCTGTGGGGCATTTTCCTGAGTGCTAATTGATGTAGGAGGGTCCAACCAACTTTGTAAGGACCATCCCTGGGCAGGTGGTTGGGCCTGTATTTTTTACTACTGTCTGAGCAGTGAGTCAGGAAACAAGCCAGTAAGCAGTGTTTTCTATGATTTCTGCTTCAGGCTCCTGCCTTGAGCTCCTGCCTTGACTTCTCTTGGTGGTGGACTATAACCTATAAGCTATGACACCCTTACCCCCAAGATGCTGTTGGTCAAGTGTTTTATCACAGCAACAGAAAGCAAAGTAAAACACTATCAATTATAGGTGTCATCTATCATCTATTATCTAATCTACCCATTATCAATTATTTATCCATCCATCATATAGCATCTATCTATATATCTATGTATCTATGTATCTGTCCATCCATTCACTATCATCTACCTCATTATCATCTATCAATAATCTAGCTAATCTACTTATTATCTATCCATCCATTCATCTCCTATCTAAGCCATTTAAAAATGCATTTGATGGATTACCTCACCATAGACACTTTGGGGAAATGAATAAATAAACTATGGTATTGGTTTATAAATACTCATTGTTTCCCAAGTGGAACTGACCAGGTTCAGCCTCCATTCTACAAAGCCTTCCACATTCTCCTCCATGGATGGAGATCCTGCCTTTCTCATTAGTCCTGGCCTGGAAGAATCACCCGTCTTATAACTTTGCTTTTAAATTTAAGATTACAAAGCAGCACAGGCATAGCCCAGAGCCCCAGTTCTATATTAGACCTGAGTATGTCTTGCTTTGCTATTTCCAGCCCAGTGAGATCACTGCAAGCCATTTGACATCTGAATCTATCTGCATCCATAAAACATAACCAATTATACATCCTGACTATAATGGCTAAGCATGCCTTTATATTAGTACCTGTAACCGCATATAGCATAGTGGTTAGGGCTTTAGCCTCTGGATTTGAGAGTCAGGCTCAGACCCTGGCTGTGGCTCTTACTATGTGACCTTAGATGAGATGAACTCTCAAGGGTCCTCTTGCCCCAGTGTAGGGTCCTGCCTGCATGTTCTGGGAAGTACATTATGCTGCTGCATTAACTAATCATCATGGGCCTTATGGAAAGACCAGGAATTTTCCCCAGCAGTCTGTAATTGCAAAGAAAATAGTTTCCAAACTTCAGTAGCTGGGAGCAGGAGAAGGGAAACAGAGCTTGGGAGGAGAGGAGTGTTAGGACAGGAAGACAGGTAGGTTTCCTTGCTTCTCCCATCACGGTGTGTGTGTGTGTGTGTGTGTGTGTGTGTGTGTGTGTGTGTGTGTGTGTCCCTGCATGTATGCAATGGAGGACATTGTATGGAGGGCAGAGGAAGTCGGTTCTCTCCTTCCACCCATGGGTACCAGGGATCTAACTCAAGCCCTCAAGCTTGAACAGGCAAGCACTTTTACACACAGAGCCATTTTGCCAGCCTCAAGGCCACCCTTCTAAATTGACTCCACCTGGCCAGTACAACTAACACTTGTCCCTGCCTCGCATCCCAGCTTCCCATTCAGCCCCCCATTCCCACCTCCTCTTTCAGCCTCCCATCGCAGCCTGGAACCCCAGTCTCCCATCTCAGGCTCCTGAATGGTACGGAGTGGTTGGGTTAAGAATAGCTTCTGGTTTCACCTGACAAGCCCTACAACCCCTCCTACTCCCAGCCAGGTGCTGCCAGTCACGCATCTCTATGCTCATCCTCAACCCAGAAAGTGACCACAGACGTCCAGCGATACCAAGGTGGTCCTGGTACCTGATTGCTCCCCCCACCCCGGGCCTCCCCGCGTGGCCACACCTCCCCGGCCGCGCAAGGGTTAAGACTGCTGAGAGAGGAGAGCTTTGGGCTGACGTCGCTCTGGCCGAAGGTGGTTTCCCCTTGCTGAGGGTGGGAGAGCTTGGTGAGCTGAAACCGGAGCTCCGGCTCAGCTGGGGCTTGGGGAGGTCCCTGCAAGAGCCAGAGCCTGCCCCCCGTGCTCCTTGTCCTTGTTCTCACTCAGGCACTTGGCAGCGCTGCGGGAACGATGGAGCTGGACCGGTGGACGCAGTTGGGGCTGGCGTTCCTGCAGCTCCTTCTCATCTCGTCCTTGCCCAGAGGTACTGTGCGTGTTGTTCTGGAATCCTCCTGGGGTCTGATGGGGCGCCAGACAGGGAAGCGGCTGCTCCAGTGAAAATTTGGAGCGCTTCGCTGGTAGCTCTGGAGTGTCTGTTGTCCTCCCTGAGAGCGGGATAAGGTTTTGTCATCCCTAATTGGGGGACTGGACTATTTCAGGAAGGGAGAGAGGGTTCCTGAATTTATTTATAAGGCATCCTATTGCTCAGGGAATTCCATTCTGTGAGTTACAGGCTCTGATTTGCAAAAGCGAAGTTTCCTCGGGAAAAGCACTCCTGCAGGGATGAAGAGCAAGGATTGGGTGGGCATACCTGCTGTGAGCTCTGTTTGGGTAGGTCTCACGGTGGGAACTCTTCAGAGCAGACCCCAACACAATTGCTCCACTCAGAACATACAGCACTCTGGGCACAGGACAGGGCTCCTGGCAGCCTCTTGACCCAGTGTGAGAAGTCAGGGAATGGCAGGTCTGAGAACGGTCCCTGGTAGGGACTTCTTAGCATCCTTTGGTTTAGATGGCTGGAACGGTGAGGTGAGGAGGTGAGGCCAGCGGGGGAGAGGTGTTAGGATAGAGAAGTGCCTTAAGCTACGAGGAGGTGAGGCTGAAGGGGCAAGGTGTGAGGTTGGAGGGGAAAGGGCTGAGGAGATGCCTGGAGGGGAGAAGTGAAGCGTGGAGGTGGAGAGGTGAGATGCCTGGAAATGAGGCTGGGTGGGCAGGGTGTGAGGAGGGAAGGTAAGACCTCACCAGAAGAGCACAGCTGAGATTTGCAAGGGTGGGGGTGGAGGTGTAAAGCAGGGCACCTGTGAGCCCTTCCTGTCTCCCTTTTACACTGGCTGACTGTCCTCTGTGCTCTTAGGAAGGTGCCCAGCTACTGCTGGTACTTGAGAAAGACCCAGACGTGGGTGCTGCTAATGCAATGGCCTGGTGTAGAAAATAAGAACACAGCCTTAAGATGCTTTCCCCCTCCACACTTTGGTTAATAATTTCCATCTACAAGAGTCTGCCTGTGCCCAATTAAATCCTCTTTCATGATTTAATGTCTAAAGATGGTGAGTGGGTCTCATCCAAAATTTACCTCGATGACAACTTGAACAGCCCAAAGACAATAATGGAGAAGAAGCCCTTTTAGGGGTGGGGAGGGGTGGGGGTTGCTTATAATCCAAGCATCTAAACACTTAGGGTGACTCCTTCCCACTCCATCTCTGCCTTTTGGATGCAAATCTCCAGGGTGTGGTGGCCTAGACCCACTCCACAGACTCCTGGTTCCTGCTCAACTTTAGGGGTCAGTCCATCAGACCCCCAAGCTGGTCCTAACATGCCCCCACTGCCTTTCTGTGACGTGGCAAATGAGACAGCTCCACTCGCTAAAAGTTAAAAAACAAAGCTCAACTGCCCAGGGTCTGAAAAATCCATTTATGTTGACCTAAGAATCTCTTTTACCTTTGGCTGTGGAAAAGTTTTGGGGAGGGTGTGAGGTTCTCTGTCAGCCAAGCTGCTGACTGAACCAGACAGGAACTTCATGTATTTAGCACGAATACTTCAGTTGTTGAACTCAAGAAAGAAGGAAGTGTGGAGAAGGAAAATATTTCTTCCTGTAGGGAATGAGTCTACTCCCTGGCCCTGTCAAGAGATGCTTGGAAGCACAGTTCCTCTAATTACTTTTCTAAAAAGAGTATATGGAATGTGAACACCCAATGAGATGGTCCTTGAGGGGAGGGAGGTTGTTGTTGCTCATGGGCATGTGATACATATTGGAGGAGGAGAAGCTAACATGGAGCCAAGTGATAAACCCAATATAAACAGTGTGTGAGGAGGAAACCCAACTCCACAGACTGTAGCAGACAGCAGCTGCACTGCCAGCGGGACTCTGCCTAAGAGGAAAACCTCACTGAAAATATGGGGCTCTGGGGAAATGAAACCTTAATATGGATCACTTCACAAATGTCACTTCTAACAGACTTTAGCTTGTGGGGAATGAACGGAAATGCAAGTAGGGAGGATAATGGGAAGTGCAGATAGTCAGCGGGCAGGAACAACCAGCTAAGACAGGGAATGTAGAGAACAAGGAGGAGGAGCAGCCAGGAAAATGAGATGTTCTTTAGAATGGGATGTGTTAGCACATTCCAAGGAGAGCTATGGAAATTGGGCTTCTTGGCAGGGGTGGAGTTGTGTGAGAATCATGAAGAGGGTGTTTCCCTAACATCTACTCTGAGAGCTTCTGGCATCCCAACAGGAAAATAATTTCATGGTGGGATCATGGGTTTTTGAGCCATGAGAGTGTTTTTAATGGTCATTTTTGTTTGAATCTCTCAATTTCAGAAGATGAGATTAAACATCTAGTCAACACCAGTGAACATTTGCCATGTGCCCAGCTTTGAAGCCCACCACTTCCTGTGGATTAATTTTTAGATCACCCTAACAGAGGTGCTTTTAATATCTCTGTTTTACAGATGAGGTGTGGGGAGTTTCCATGACTGATTCAGGGATTACATAGGCACAGCTCTTCAAAGAATTATCATAGAATTATCATTTGGTCTGGATCACGAGTGGGATGATCCACTTGTAGGTGTATACTTAAAAGAACTGCAATCAGAGGCTTGAACAGGTATTTGTAATTCCAATGCTCATAGCAGCATTACTTCTCAAAGTCAAAAAGTGGTAATATTCCAAATGCCCTTTCATAAAGTGTGCTATCTGCATGCAATTCAACATCATTCACTTTCAAGAATAAAGGTAATTCAGCTACATGCTACAACATGCATGAACCCTAAGTAAAAGAAGCTAGACATACAAAACCCAGCCATTATGCAATTCCATTTATATAAGGCACAAATTCATAAAGACAAAATGTAAGATGGAGGTTGCCAGGGCCTGCAGGAAGGAGGGAATGGGAAGTTACTGTTAAATGGGTGCAGAGTCTTGACTTCATATGATGAAAATGCTCTCGTGATGCATGTTGGTGACAGCAGCACAACAATGTGAATGTGCTTCATGAAAATAAACTAGACACTTAACCATGATTAGCATGATAACTATATTACATATGCTTTCCTACAGTTAAAAAAGTTGCTGGGCATGGTATATTCTGCATGCCTATAAT